GGGGGGTGGGGGGGAGGGGGAATTGTGGCTGACCCATGGGGATCTGGTATGTCAAAGCTAGAGATCAGGAGGCTAGATGACCAAGACTTATGCCCTAAACTCAACAGATGCTGTAAATTGCCAAGGCCAGCAAGGCCACAACAGAAGAGGTAAGCAGAAACTGAAAGGTGTTATTACTAGAAATCGTAAGGCTGAACCACTGAGGTGATTCAGAGAAGTGTCTTGGCCATTTTATGTCTGGCTTCCATAGTCAGCCTGAGGACCACCAACTGAACATCATATGGTTTCAACTGCATAGTCGAAATGCCATAATTTAGGAAAGATAATGGAGAGGCCTACTTCCCAGAAGAGCCCTAGACAAATATCCGCCAGTCAGGCTTAGAACCATTAAATACTACTGGTCTCTTTCTCTCTGTCTGAAGAAAAATGGAGGGTCTCAGGGAAGAGCTAGTGCTGGAAAACACTTGACCATCTGAGTTTCTGGTGCCTGCATCTAAGATGTATCACATGAACTTCATAAGATATAGCTGGAGCCAGGTTTTGTGTTCTTTGCATTTCCTGGAACAGAGCATTTCACGGAGTATAGAATATAGTATTCTTCTAAGCAACACATCTGGTATGCATATGCCCTCTGCAGCCAATGATATTGGCATTCACAAGATGGATATAGCTTAAATCTCAGAACTCAGGAAAAAGCATCCTGGTACTCTAAAACTCCCCTCTTTAGGAGTTCATTTGAAATTCTTTGTTATTAGGGGTATTATCCCTAGGATGAAACCTAGTGTTTTTCAATTTATGCACAGAGAAACATTTTATTTTCAAATCTGAGAGAAGTCCTATAAACACTTATGGAATTAGCCTTATGCATGGCATTAAATGCTTGCAGTCTTGAACTGTAACGCAAGTACACGTCCTTGCTCTCTTACCCTTTTTCCTACTGTATACTGCCTTACTCTGCAGGACTGTCTCATAGATGTAAATAGTGCTAGTGTACATCAGTGCTGAGATCAAATACTAAGATACTATGCAATTTACGATGTCATAGGGATAACAGAGACCTGGTAGGACTCCACCTATGACTGGGCCACAGGTGTAGATGGCTATACCCTGTACAGAAGAGAGAGAGTGTAGCTGTCTTATGTCAAGGAAAGCTACGCATCCCTTGAAGCCGACACTGGCGCCCAGGGTGGACGACTGGAGACCCACTGGGTTAAAATCCGTGGGGAACACGGCACAGGGGACACAATAGTGGGAGTCTACTGCAGACCTCCTACCCAGGATTAAGAGCTTGACCAGGAGTTCGCCAGGGAATTGGCTGAGGTCGCATGCTGCCGGTGCATGGTTGTCATGGGAGACTTCAACTACCCAGACATATCGTGGGAACAGTGCTCAGCCAAATCCAAACAGTCGCAAAGCTTGCTCTTGTGCATGGATGGGCTCTACCTGATGCAAGAAGTCTATGGGCCGACAAGAAGTAAAGCGCTGCTCACCCTGGTACTCTCCCTAGAAACACCAAAGTAAGATGACGCATCTAGGATTCTCTTCAAATGAGTATTATTAGCTCTTTATTACCTCTTTTGGAAAATTAGTTGGAAGAACTGAAACAGAGGTTGTTGCACACTGAGTAATTTTAGAGACATGCAGACAACTGTTTGTTGACTGTGGACAATTTGTGAAATTATTCTCCAAACTTCAAATCCAACTTCAAATGATACAGTAATATGCTGGCTTGTATTCCCTGTAAATTAAGCTATAGGGCTCTGCTGTAATGGCAGACAAGTGTTAAATTGTAACTGCTTTAAATGTATTCATGTTGTTGTTATGTTGCATGCTGCAGTTTCTCTCATTGGCTTATATGTAAACAAAGAATGAAAAGTTAAGTTCCAGAGCTGCCGGGACAAGACTAGGGGGATCCTCAGCATCAACAGGAATTGAACAGCTATATTTACACTTCAGATGGGCTTGGTACCCCTCCTTTGGAGAAGATGACCTGGAAGCATCAAAGGAATGGAGATAAGCTAAAGAAATAGGGTGGTGGCCTGAAAGCAATGGACAGTGTGAAGACAGATGTGCAAAGCAGCTTTGGGGTTGGGAGCTGGGACAACTGCAAAGAGATGCAAGTAACTCTGAGGTGCTCAGGGTTGTGTGCTGACTGGGGACAGAGGGACTGCTTAATCTTTTGGGGGCAGAGAACTTCTGGCTGGGTGGCCTTTGTCCCAGTTTACTGAAGATGAGTTGTGCGTTTTGGTGCTTGGAACTTGGGTTGTACTTGTTCTTCCTAACAAAAGATAAATTCTTTTTCAAGAGCAAAACTGGAAACTAGCTCCTTGAGTTTGCACAACAGAACAACTATTCTGTTGTTCAGGGAGGGTCAGGGACCAAAAGACCAGGGTCTCAAAGTGGGAAAGAGTCAGGGCTCCCCCTAACTCCCTAATACAACCCCCCCCCAGGGGGCAGTGATACCAATCTGTAACAACTCTCTCTCAGCATGACCAGAACTCTTGATATATTACATGGCAAAGCAAGATAGTGTTATTTATTCAGGTCAGTTCATCCTCCGCCTCCACTCCCCACCCACCTTTTGACTGTATAGTTTCTTCATGTTTATTACCTGTGTATCCTTCCAAACATCTGAGGTGGATACTGCCTCGAAGACTGCCTTGTCTCTTTGCAATACCATTCTTCTCTTCCTTAACTTCTTCTTTTATTTCTGTTTTGTCCTACATCTTAGATTTTTATATTTTACACTCCCGAATCCTTAGAATTCTACTTGCTGCTGCACCCCCCACAACCTTGGTCAGATTGTATCCACTGGACAAGAACAACAAAACAAGTCATCCAGCAGTTAATACTTCCAACTGCTGAACAAAGTATCAACCAGGCATAAAAGGTTTAGTGAAAATCTCTTGAGTAAATCAAAACACCTTTGGCAAACTCATGCAGGAAGTCAGACACTACAATGCAGAGTTCAGCAGATTAAATTTAATGTGCATATATTCATACATACATTTATGTCAATGTTTTTTGATGCATGTGATGCCAGGTCTTGAAAAATCTACTTATTCACATGCCTCTAGGAGCTGGAATCCCGCTCAAGGATCATTCCTTTTCAAGACTTTTTAGTCAACTTTTTGGTTCCGTGGCTGCAAAAATAAATTTGCAAACATGAACTGAATGCAGTGTTGCTATCTTAAATTTGTAGACAAAATAGCTCCACAGTTGCTGCTGCTGCTCATAGTTTTACCCCTTCGAGTAGTAAGGAAATGGCTATAAATTAGGTCAGTTTCATTCTGCTGATACTTGGAAAGCTATGTAAAGCAACAAGGCATGCTCCCTGGGGAGAAGGGTGGAACTGTCTTAAAGACAGAGAAAGGGCCAGGAAGTAGAGCTATAAGGTAAATGTTGCCAAAGGTATGCAGTTATACTTTTACAGCAATTTCTTAAAATAGAAATTTAACAAAGATGTTTATTTCAATTGTAGGTGGAGTAGCTTTTAGGTAAGGACTCCAGAATATTTCTGCCCGGGCAGTTAAGCTTGGTTCTAATAGTTTTCAGGTAGATTTTTCAAGCCCTAGTGATGTTCAAATAATGAATCTAAGGAAGGCTCACAAGATTTATTATCAGATTGAAATAGTAATATCTATTGCATAGCATTTATTTAAAAATAAGGCACTGACTTGCTAAGTGTTAACAGCAGTTAAAAATTAATGCAGTTTCAGTACAGTCCAACTTTGAGGGCCTATAATTCAGCAGAACACAGAAAAGCAAAGATATGTCTCTGAAGAGTAATCCTACCACTAAATTTGAGAAACAATTTTAAAAAGATAAAGGAAACTACATTTTTTAAAAGCCTTTTTATTTTCCTTCACCGTTATTGTTTTACAATACAAATATCACCTTGTGAATACACAAAAACCCTACAGAAGATAACTCTGCTTCACGTAAAATACAGAATGTATATATCTATCTATATCTATCTATATAGATAGATAGATAGATATAGATATATATATAGATAGATATATAGATATATATATTCTTCTTCATTCTTAAAAAAACTATTTTGTTCTGCACATTGGCAAATATAGGATAAAATACTTCCCCAAACATACAGTATGTATGGTAGGAGTGAAACTTGAGTTACATGCAGTTTCTGCACAAATATAATTTTAAAGAACTAGATTATTTTTGTTGTTTTTCAACAACGTTTTCATTAAGGGAGTAGAGAGACTACTCAGAGTTCACTCAGTGATCTTCTGCAAAACCTTTTTTTTTTTCCCAAGGGGAGGAAGAGGAAATTCATGGCTGTTTTCTGGTAAAAATGCAACTACCAAGTACACAATAAAATAAGTTAAAGTGGTACATTTTATTAGGATCTGTCCACAATGTGTGAACAGATTTTTGGTTTCTCCATACTCATTGCAACGTCAACATTATAAGCAAATTTCCAGTTTAAGTTAGCTATAAATGTAAAATTTAGTAATGTATACAGTATTTTTACTTCTGTTTTTATGGAATACTTTATTTTAAATAAAAACATTTATGACTGCCTACTGACCATACAATCAAGACAAGAAAGGCACTAGAAACATAGACAAATCTCTCTCTCCCAAGAAGCATTTATTTTAACTCACTTTTCTCTGACATGTAAAAACCTTTTTAAATTTAGTTTCCATACATATCATTTTGAAAAATAAATTTAGGAAATACTTAGAAAATCACTTTACAACAGAATATCATTTTTTGCACTTCTTTTTGACACTGTCACTGCTGTTTTACAAAATCAATAGTTACCAAACCTTTCTGTGTCTATCATTTTATTTGTATCATTGGTGCAACAGGTAGAAAGATTCCTTAATTTCACCCCAGTCAGGTATTTAGAAACCTTCATATAGACATTTGCTAGAAAATGGCTTACAGCCCAATCTTTGGGGCAAGAGATATGAAAAGTATGTTTTCCCAAGAAAATAATATGCTTTATTCCCAGACATGACTGGAAAGACCACAACTTATGATATAAAAGCTTTCATTTATGCTGTCGCATCATATACAAAGGAACGTGGTGATGGGTAATGTAAATCCCAAATCTATTAACAAGAAATGTATACAGTGCATGATAAGTTAAATTTTCTTTATTGTTGTCCAACGCAGATCCTTTGGAGAGAAAAAGAGATCACAGTGCTTACCAGGTAACTGAATAGGTTAAGTCAAGGTAACTGTTAAAGGATCAGGGAGTAGTTCACTTTTTATGGCATCTTCTCTCATGGAGTTCTTAGCACTTTGGACAGTTCCTTTCCCCAAATTTTTTATAGCTGTTATGTGTCATTCACCAATCTGCTGTATTTAGCTTGCCTACTCAGATGTAGCACTGGCCAGGGAAAAGGCCAATGGTAAGAGCGAGGTACAATTCCTTGAACATTCTTTTCAAAGTACTGGAAGGGCTTGTACCACCACACCCGTGCAAGGAGGTTAGTTTGGGAAGCTTCTTTTAGCACCTGTACAAAAAATAATTAGAAAAAGATTACTAAAAAGCAAAGCAGTTTTGCTTACTTTATGCTCATTACAACCACCAGTAGCTTTCCAAAAATGTATCATTTCAGTTTACTCAGAATGTATACCACATTTCACTAAGTATAGACATGAAAAATGTATATTGGATAGCTGATCTAAATTGACAAAACATCAATAGAATCAAAAGAAGTTCTGCACATGCCTTTCTGCCCTCTCTCTCATTGCCTTTCCACACTTATTGAGAGAGCAAACAGATCATGCTTTAAAGGTCAAATTGTGGTTCTATCAGAGCCAGGGAGAGAATGAATTATGGAACTGAAAGCCCTAGGGAACAACGGCCAGATACAGACATTACATTTTTAATAGTATAAGTGATTTGGAAACTGGTCTATACCTGTAACAGAACAGAAGTTCAGCATACTGGTCTATACAAATAACACAATAGAAGCTTGGCACAGACTGGTTTAAAAATGGTGGAACCTGGTCTAAGATTTGACCCCCCACATCAGATGGTGCAGGCACGTTCTGTTCACTCCTAATTTAATTTACACTGCTTACAGAAATTTAGACTGATTCTGTCTTGGGCTTTTTGAATGTCTGTACCTAGCCAAGGTGTTCTAAAGGGAACCATTAGTTTGTCAGAAACCACCAGTCCCAAACTATTAGTAGAAAATGAGATAAGTTTTGAAGAGATGTAAAGAACTTAAACTATACAGCATTTCCCAAATTAAAGTAACATCTAGAATATCAACTGATTTGAAAAACAAACCAATTCTTCAAAGCCTATTAAATACTTAAATACTATCGGGTAGTTGTGATTCGGGTCCCTCACTGTCTGAAGTGTCCAAGCAAGCAGACCCTTAGGTTTTTAATGACAGTCTAGAGGTTACAAAAAGCATAAACAACTATTGTGGAGTTTGGAGTCACTGTGGTAGGACTGCTTGTGGCAGAGCAGCCCCCAGGAAACTGTTCCCAAACGTCACCATGTTGCTACTTGTGTACCCTAAGTAGCTAACAAATAAATGTATTCCAACTACACAGTTGGTCCAGTACAAGATATCACCCACAAAAATCCATGCTTAACAAAATACTACAATTCCTGAAAAATCAATATCTATCTAAAAACCTACAGGAACAGACTGCATGTGTCATTTATAAAATGATAAATCTCTGAGTTAGCTGCATGATCTTACCATAGTTCAAACCTGTCCCTACTTCATAAATGGCCCATCATGAAGAAAAAACTTCAAAACCCCAGCTAGTATTGCTATAGAAAGTTTAATGGATAATCTTTCCTTTCTATTATGTTCCTCACTAAGCAAGCCCTTCCTATGAGGTTATTCCCATAATTGTTTTTCAAGTTTGGCAACTGTTGATTCTTCTGGATCATGCTGTATGCATGAGAGGTCATCCAGACCTTTGATGCATATGCCAAGACAGGAGATTTTGGAGGAGGTCTCCCAGGTCTCCTGTATGGAAGACAAGGATTCTACCACTGAACCACAGGGGACTGTGTTTTTCAAGCTCTTTTCATAAAAGAACATAGGAAATTTCCAAGGTAGAAATCTGAGTATGCATAAGAAATGATGAAACACTGATACAAATAAAATCTATAGAATATCAATTGCAATCTCTTTACCATAATGTAGTTCCCCACATAGATCCTGATTAAACACATACCTAAGTGTTTTACCATCTACAAGCTGAGATTTAAGGAGACTCCAATTCCTAGCTTATATTTCTGTTAACAAAGAGCCGCTAAATTTTGTCCAGGTATGAAGACACTCAGTAGATTCTCAACTGTATAAACCAACAAACATTTTGTCCATTTAGTTCATTGGCAAATTGATTTTTGCTATTAAGCTGATTCTGTCACCCTCAAAAAGATGATATTTACATTAAAATGAAAGGATAAAAATAGGAATCTTTCAGGTTTGCCCTCTGATGTTTGTGTTCCTTTCTGTATTTCTTTCTACCATTCATATTTCTATCTCTACCCTGCTCCTATTCCACATTTTTCAAATCATGTCCCTCAGGTAAGTTTCATTGTACTGTCTTGACAAGACAGAATGGGAGCAGCTATTTTCACGGAAGCAGCGCAGCGTTTGTACAATTCTTCTAAAACAGAAAGGAAATTCACTCTTATTTGGTGAAATGTCATTTCTTATGCCTTAGGATATTTTATCCTGTTAGTCAGGGGCTGGCAACCTACCACCCATGGAGCAATTTGATTTATCCCATAGATGTGGGGCTTCTGTTCAAGGAGTCAAATTGACCAAGTTAGGGTGAGACTTGGGCAAGTGCTAGGACCCAGCCACTGCTTCCACCACTTTTCCCAGCAGCTGCACAGGTACAGCACCTAGCACCACCACCTCTCTCCCCACAGCAGCATGAGGAGAAGGTCTCCAGCAGGTGCTCATCCCCATAGCAGCATGGGTCTTTGTAGCAGTTGCTTTCCCCTGCTATTATGGGGATAAGCACCAGCTGCAGACACTCTCCCCATGCCACTATGGGGAAAAAAAAAGCATTGCTGGGTGCTTTCCCTTCCTAGCTGCTGGGAAAAGCAGTGCTAATAACTGGTTCCTAGCACTCACTTTCCAGACACTGGCCCTCCTCTGACCCAGACTGGGTTAAATCTGGCCTACAGCCTGAAAAAGTTGTTGACACCTGCTTTTAGTAAAAGAATCCTGCCTTTAGTCCCATCAAAAGTAAGAGATGGTGGCCATTTTAAAAAATGGCTTAAACTGCACAAGCAAGTCTGCTTTATTCATATTGTCCAAAATTAAAAGCATTCTTCAAAATTAAAAATTACAATACATAAAAGAAAGGATGCCTGCCTGCTTAGAGTAGATTTTAAAGTAATTTTGTGGTGGTCATAATGCAAGTGATAAGACCGTCTGACTGGGGGAGTGGGGAAAAAGGGGGGCAAAATAAGAGTATTACATTTTTCTCCCATCACTGACTTTTTCTAGTTCCTTATTTAAATGTTTTGCCTAAATTTGGATTTTTCAAAATCCTGGAATTTTTATTTTCTTTTTTCCTCAAAGTACAATGTGAAGGATAGAGAACAGGAAGCTCTACAAGATACAGAGAAGAATTTGGTTATATTTCCTTGTTTGAAAGCTCAACAGATTAGAATTCATCCACTCATGCTAAAGCAGGAGACATGGAGCCAATCAGAACTAATTACTTGAAGAAAAACTCACATGCTGATTGGCCATTGTATGATACCACCAGAAAAGTCTTGTAGTGATGTAGTAAGCCACCACCACATCCACAGTGTAGTGGTCATGAGCCAGGAGAATACAGAACATCCCAACTATGCTAAGAGTCCAGCAAATCCAGTGATACCACCAGAGTCGCCGAGGTGAATCTGAAAGCAAGCAAAAGTAATCCCTATTTTACTAGAGAAGAATGATATTAACACACAAAAGCAGCAATTCATTAATCTTGAACCTACTAATTTGCAACTACTGGCAATATTATTTATTCTGATGTCAACTGTTTCATAGTTAAATCACACATTACTAGCTTAAATTTTACTCACTTATATTAATGAATCAGCAGTGAATATTTTTCAGTTTAGTATTTAAAAAAAATTGCACAAGCATTGTAGTTAACTTACACTCTTTGATAAATAAGTATGTAAGAGTTAATATAACTGTGTGACCACTGTACAGATAGTCACCACACATGTTGTGAGATCCTGTGATAGACAATCCCCCGCCAGCAAGCAGTTTCATTATCCTTCTCATGTGGGATTCCCAGTCTCCAAAGAGCTAGAGGAAAAAGAGAAAAACAGTTTTAATCAGGGTTATTCATACTGCATTGGGAATATGAAAGGATGTGGGTAGTCAGTATTGTAATCTTTTTGCATAGATGCATTACATCTTTTTTGGCCTGTTAAATTTGGGATGTTACTAAGTCACATAAAAGGCCAAGAGGCATCATTATATTTTATACAGGGAAAAACCTCATACTTTACTTGTAGCTGCTTTACAGTGAAAAACATGGGCCTGAGATACACTACCACCCTGCAAAGTGTCAAACATCTCCCAGAAGATGCTGAACTATCTTGGCACCTACTTATCTCAGTGGGTGTTGAGGATGCTTGATAATGTACAGGATGAGGTCCTTTAACTTAACAGATATGAAATTAAAGGGAAGAACATGAAAGAACACACACAGCTTCCAAGAGCAAGTGACGAATATCTATGAAGAAAAGAGCACGGCAGTAAAATACCTAATAAGGATCAGTCAAAAATAAAGGAATCTTATTATGACAAAGCAAGAAACTGGAATGAAAGTTCAAGCAGTTTTATGCTAATGAAACATATTTGTCTTTTCCTGAGAAAGTACACACGAATTAAAGAAGCTTCCATAAGACAAGACACATACGAGTTAGAAAGCTCCAAATTTTGCCAGAGGCAGGAAATGGTTTGGAAAGACCGGACAAAAATAAATATCCAGCACTTAATCTATTAATTTTCAAATGTAACAGCAAACATGATGTATTGTTTTGGATATCAGGTTAAAGTAACAGCCTCATTCTATCTGTCAATCAATATGCCATGATTGTAGAGTGTCATTTTAGAGTGGTTATGGTGGGACTAACAGAAGGGTACAGAAATCACTCACTCGGGGGGGGGGGGGGGGGGGAGAGACTCATTACGGTACAGAAAAATAAGCCTAA